CTTGTGTGTCAGTCACGTGGTGTAGCTATGACGATCAGCAACCTGGTAAGAAAAGCGCGGCGAGTCGAGGGCGAGCCAAGCATTCAGTTGAAACACAGCTTTAGTTGAGTTTAGCAGGGAGATTTTTAGCAGGTGCTCTCCTAAAGCGCCACATGTTCCTGCGACCAGATGTTGTGTCAGTGGATTCAGTGTCCGACTCAGACGCTCTCACTGTCAGCGAGAGCTGCAGGAAACACGTAGACAGTAACCAAAACAGCTGAGGTCGTGTAACGCCAACTCTGAAATTCAAGCAGTATGTGGTGTAGCGGTTAAGGCGTAAAGCATACAACCACAACGTGCCTGGTTCGTTTCTAGCTGTGGGACCTCTGTTGAATGTCATACCCCCTCTCTCTCCCCTCAGTCACTATCTAATAACACTATACAGATTGTTTTTCTGCTCCAGCTATCAAATAAAGATATATTTGTCTCGACAAATCAAACCGGGGGTGGTGCGATTACAAGGTATTCCTCTTAGACCACTAGGACGACATGATGATATTACCTGAACTACCAGGTGAGTCTGGAAAGGTGAGTGTCCGCTGGGTATTTCAAACTCAAACAACCCCAACAATACAGTTAATCGTCTCACAAATGTTCTATACTCCTGTATATGCCTGAAAATCACCTTTATCTTGATTATCTCAATCATTTTGTCTGGAAAGTGTGAAATCCCTAAATGTCTTGTTTTGTCTGACCAACAGTCCAAAACCCAAAGATATTCACTTTACTACAAAATCTTTTAACAATTTTGACTAAAACAACTATTTGATTATCAAAATAGCTGCACATTCATTTTCTGTTGATCGATAAATAGATTGACTAATCGCTGCATGTATCTATTGTCGCCTGTACTGAACTCACCTTAAACACAAAACTGAGTAGCTAACTCGTGCATTTATCAGTTCGCACTGACGAACTGCAGAAATGATCCATGTGAGTTAAGTCCTGTTGACTGTAAAACATTTAATTATATGGTTGTCTGAGGTCCTCTGATATAACCCTGATTACTCTACTTCAAAGTTGTGTAACTTTAATAGTTAACCTACTGTAGCCAAACCCGAACACCTAATCGAACCTAAAATCTGACTGTGATTCTGAACGTAAGCCAAAAACTACTCCTGTGCGTTTCTTTGTCGACCAGAAAATTGTCAATATTTTGGAGGATTTTCTTTATCTTTTTGGTGCCTGAAGGTCATCTTGTCATCTCACAGATTAAAAACACAAGATCATACTCATTAAATCCTACAAACACAAAAAATGTAATTTTTTTTGAGGGGCTAAGCAGACCACACACACATATCTTACACACACACACACACCCTAACAAACATCCACTTTAAGGTCAAACGTCTCTGTGATTCAGACCACACACACACACACACACACACACACACACACACACACAGATGGGGTGTATTGTTGCATGTAAGGGTGAGTCAGAGCCTATCAGTGAACCCAAACAATAATAAAGTGGACCAGTGAACTGTAAGGAATGGAATGCCAATCACACACACACACTCAGATAACACAGAAAACCCCCCAAATTTCACACCGATCAACACAAACGTCTCGTAAACCTTAAATCTTCTGACCGTCACGCCAAAGACGTGCACGCATACGACCGCTGTACATCGCAAAAACCAACATCAAAGGCTCACACAGATTACAGATTTATATAAAGTATAATACTGTAACTGTTACTGGAAGCTCGTGACCCAGACGAAGGAAGTCATAAAACATGGATATTAATCAAGTTTTTGATATAAAACTGACTGGAACTGCAGCTGAAACATGGCTAATACAGTTTCATCCCTTCAGTCCAGTTTTTACATCCACAGAGATGAGAAAGATATCAAAATGTAAAGAAGAACATCTTCAGAAATACATTAAAGGACGCGTTTGATCTACAGAATGAGGAACATATCGGATGTAGTGTTTAGCGGTGTATCCTGTAACACCATGCTCATACATTATAGATCTTATTTTAACCCACTGAGGAGAAGCTTCCTGATATCAAAAACTATTATTTCATAAACAAACAAGCAAATCACCAAATAAGTTCAAACTCCTTGAACACATATCGACTAGAATGAGAACGTTTTAACTGTGAAGGCCCAAACTTACATAACAGACAAACCTAAGAGAAGTCCTAACTTATCAGTTAATCTTAGTTATTAGTTTTTATTTATTTTATTGTTTGGTCTATAAAGTGTCAGAAAAAAGAGCAGAACCACCCGTCACAACTTCCTAAACGCCCCAAGGTCTTTTGTTTTGCCAAAGATATTCAGTTTATCATCACACGGAACAGAGAAAAGCAGCAAATGATCTGAATACTTGTCTATTATTTTTCTGTTCCTGCTCTTATCTGTTATTTTTTTAACGGACTTTAGTGTTAAATCAGTTATTTAGCGGCCGAAGTTTCAACTCCAATGGATTTATTTCTGCCTTGTGCGTGTCAAACTCCGATCTGTCTTAACAATGTGCACAAAACAGACATTCAAAGTACATTCATGCATCAAGTGAACATCCATTTTGTATAAAGTGCCTCATCCAGCAGTAATACACACACACACAAGTCCGGGAGTTTCTGTATTTACATGCTTGTATTTGTTTGTGTGTGTGTGTGTGTGTGTGTGAATGCCGCAGCACTGAGGCAACACTGGAGCATTCCTCATTGTGCGCTTTTCATTGTTTCCAAGTATCTTTTTGTCTTAACCAGGCTGGCATTCGGGGTGTGTTTCTACTGCAATTCAAAGAAGGGCCTGTTTCCAGATTAAAAATAGCTGGCCTTCGCATGAGAACCAGGGGATTCCCCACATGCAAAAGACATAGCTCCATGTTTTTCATTTCGCCTCTGTCCAGTATCGTCTCTAAACTATTCCTTATGTGATTTCCTGCCACCTTTGGATGTGTCAAGGACGAAAATTAGCTTTTTAACTCGCTTATAAAAGTGTATATATTACCTCATCGATGGAGCGCATAAAGACATTTCTACGGCTGGCTCTGCTGCTGATATAGGATTGTTGCTTTTATGCCAATAAGCCAATTTGAAGCAGACACAGTCAAACGTTTGCCCCTTTTCTGACACAAAAACACACGCTATTACCTAAAAGAACCGCACAATATTTCTCACCTTGCTGCAGAAGTTGCCTAAAGTTCAGCTACGCATAGATCATCAACATGTTTCCCCAAATGTGTCCGTTTGCCCTGATCATGGCTCTTCTAGACAGACGTTACCCAGCTATTGCTCAACTTCAAAAAGCAGTGCCAACTACAGTCATAACAGACAGAAATAATCTTCTTAGTACAGGAAAGAACATGTATTTCATGCCATATTTAGCTATTTAAGGCAGTGTATTGTAGTAGTATCTGGGGATTCCTCTAGGGCTTCATGCACAATGACAACATCTGCAACTAGCAAATCAGCAATAGATACATGGGCTGATGTTTCCACCTGTTGCTCACTTAATTTAAGATATGCCAGCTCAGCAAAAAAATCACATATTTGATCCTCTCAGTACAAAGTTTGTCTGTCTCACTAATGTAAGTCACAGGCAGCAAGGACACGGCTCCAAAAGTGTTTAACCGGTTCCGATGGAAAACTATCTGCAAAAGCATTAAGATATCAGTTTTCTTCTTCCTTATCTTCAAGAGGAAATGTTTTGTGTTTCAGCATTAAATTATCCACATTTCTGGTGCAGGATACGCGTCTCTTGATGGAGGTCTTCAACAGTGCACACCTGTGTAACTCATCGCCTCGGTTTGCACAGCGAACTCCCACCACCGAGGGGGGGGNNGGGGGGGGGGGGGAGCGTGACACGTTTCCCTTCTTTCTTATGTGTACTCTCATGTGGAGATGATTCAGGGGAGTTCTCCTCTGAAACCATTCCTCTCTCTCTCTCGGAGTAGCTTTACATTTTAAACAGGCCCCTTTGCTGGGATTCATACATTGTCAGTTTCCTACTTCACCCTTGCAGATTTTTTCTAAAAGCCCAATATATACAATTCCCAAAGAAGTGTGTCAGAAACCATATGTAACACCTCGCTGTAGATCGTATATTAAAACCTGCTGCACAGTATTGAATTTGTCGAGGACAGAGATGTAATAATGGACCTCGTCTGCTGCACTCACAACAATATGACCTTCCATCTGGCTGATAAGCTTATACCTCTCCCATATTTCGGCCTCCCTACACTGCACACTAATAAAAGGTAGATGAGAACCCACCTTGTGTTCACTCTCTCTAACTGTAGCCTGTGACAGGGAGCTCTGCTAATTGATTTCTAGTGAGGGATCAAACCTCTCTAAAGGTTGTAGGAACATTTTAAAATACCTTTTACACTTTAAGGTCTTCTCTGCATGGCACATTGCATGTACTTACAATAGTGTGTTATTACCTGTTATGTGATCAAAGTGGCTTAAATAAAACTCCAGGGGATAGCCCATGCACCTCCATCACCGACCTGCATATTTCACCTCTGCACACCACATCTGTAACCTACTTGAAAGCAATCTTGCGGACTACTTTCCGCAAATGGCTTCAATGTGTTCTTTAGTTAGATAATCGCTGCCGGACAGACAGACAGACAGACACACTTATTGCTTAATCCCTCCGCTTCGATTGCTTGTAAATTTCGGACTGCATTGTTTAACAAGTCCAGTCAGGCAAAAGCTGTTTTTCAAGCTCCTGATATGTCACAAAGCGGGGGTGAAGCTCTTCCAAAAAAATCTATCACCCCCCCCCCCCACAAACATAAAAGTGTCACTTCTTCAAGTCTGTAATGTTTCTGTTGTGACTTGCAGCAGCTGTATAATAGTCATGCATGTACACTGAAGCTGAATAATGTGCACGTTTGGCACATTTCAGTGCGCAAGAGCGACTTTTTCCTGCACAAACTCCCACAAAAGTACACAAAGTACAGCGTATCAGCTCTCAAAGTGATTGGAAACCAGCTCTTACCTGCGATATGGACATGTTCAGGTAGAGAAAGAGCCCCGTGGTGGAGGCAATCTGCAGCACCACCACCACTATCACCACCATCGCCACCACCATCTTGGACGGCGCTCCGCGCCTCGTCTCGCTCGGGCCCGCCGGCCGGGACCATCATGTAGTGGTGGATCGGCTCACGATCTGAAATAACCTGGTGCTGCTTGCTGTGCTGCTCGAGTGGCCATCCATCCCGTCGCATGACAGACCATAAAACCAAGGAAAAGCAAAACAACAACACCAACAACAACCTCCACGGACCTGACCGAAAATTGGAGCAAATTACGATCTCCAGTGCGTCGCTGCCAATAGCTTTCATTCTGAAAAGCTCAGCGGGGGAAAGGGAAGGCGAAGGGGGAGGCGAAGAGAGAAGAGATAGGAGAAGAGAGTTGCAGAGAAAGAGAAAGACGAGCTGTTAAAGTTTGGATCTGCCCATGTCTGTTCAGGTCTGCTGCGTAAAAAGCGAGATTGGAGCTGCTGGAGACTGCAGCGCAGACTTGATGAGCTGGCAACCGAGGGAGAGATAAAAGACGGCGCTAACCTCTTCCATACACCTGGAGTATAGAGAATGCTCTCTCTCTCTCTCTCTTCCTCTCTCTCTCTCTCTCTCTTCTCTCTTTTAGTTCAGTGCGCTTTCCAGGCCAGCAAATCCGACACAACAAGAAAGCGACCACATGCATTTTTTAAAATTTCACTATTGAACCTCATTATATAGAAAGCACTGAAATGATATTTTTTATGGACTAATTTACCACTAATCTAACTATTTTTGGCAACTATTTGG